TGCATCTCCCGGGAATTATTATATATGCTTTCGCGCTGCTCTCGTTATGCAACTCTGCGATGCATCGTTCGGCGTCGTCGCGTCTGTCGCTCCCGTTTTTTCGCACATTGATTGGATTCTTGGTCTCCTTGAACTTATTGATGTTCCGTCTTTGAAAAACACTCTTTGTATCCGTTTTTGATTCATCTTTCTTCACTCGCAACTATTGTCTAACAGTATTAAATCTAATACTATTAATGTGTGTCTTGTCTCTCGCATGACTTGCGTAAAAATTGGAGCAGTTTTGCTTCCTCAAGATGGATCGTATTTGATATAAAATCTTTTTCAATTTTTTACGTGAAATTTATTTCACGATTTGTGTGAATCTAACTCTATTCCACCAATTTTTTCAAGACTGTTTCACTGCCTTTTTATTTTCCAAACTCAGCTGGACGACAATTGAGGCAAATAGGTAAGAATATCGCTTATGAATCGGTATTCCTTCTATTCCTTCAACCTTCTTTGGCTAAGAAGGCTCATCTGTTCTAAAAATTTCTACACACACCCGACTTTCGATTCTGACTTTCAGTTCCGATGTGTACATGTGAGTGTTTAAAGTTAGGAGCATCTGAAGACTGGTCACATGTCGATTACGCAGGATTCATCCCACACAGTAGGAGACGTGCTGAGCGATCAGTACAAGGACACGCAAAAGTAATTCCAAGGTTGTCTAGTTCGTCTGGCGCCTCCTTGTACGATCAAGATCGAATGGATGGATGGACTGGCTTTCAACGAGTCCAGCAAGTTCATCAACACGATTCCTTTTAAATCCTTCGTCTAAATTTCAACTTCTATATTTCTCGACTCTACTAACGTTCCTTTCTTTTTTTTTTCTTCTAACTGTAATTTTAGAGCTACAGCGTAAGATTCCATGTTAGTGAGCAAAATAATAATTTAATCGAAGAAAATGACAGAAAGAATCATGATACGTTCATGTCCCGAATTTCCGCGGGATTAATGCTCATTTAAACAATTAAAAATTGCAAAAAATTAGACTCAGTCTCGAATTGCCAAACATTATCTCTAGTTCTTTTGATCTAATAATTGGATGATACTTTTTTGGAATTTTAAGTTGTTTCTTAATAGGCTGTAACGTGTTTTTTTTTATCTTCTTTGTTGCAAAATTCTCATTTTTTTTTTAACATTGTAATGATAGAAGAACGATTTCGAATGTTACTATCACTAAGTATAGTTTTAATGCATTTGTCCGACTTTTATTTTATTTTAGTAGAAAAATGAAGAGAGTTTTTACTTACAGTGAAAATGAATGCTTAAATTTAAAAGTAATAAAAACTACTTAAATTCTTAAAATTTAATGAACTTCAACTAGAAATCCGCTTTAGTTTATACATTATTATTATAATCCGCAATATAATCCGCAATTAATATTTCTGTTAAAAATTAGAGAATCATTGTGCATCAGTAGAGGCTTGAATTAAATAATTAGCAAAATAGACAGCTTTATCAACGTCAATCGGCATTTTCGAAATAAATCGCTATTATCGGCGTTATTTTAAATATGTATGTCATCTCTGTCGCAGATTTTTCCTCTTTTATTCAAAAACTTATAACAATAAAATTATCATTCTACAAGATGTCCTATCATTGATCTATCTTCCAATCTGATCGACATCAAATAACTCGTCATCTGAAATGACTCGAATATGAAGTGCAAAAAAAATGAGTCTTGAAGATCGGCAACGATATGAGAGTGTTATTAAAAATCAAAGAATATATTTGATTTTCGAGGTTCAAGAATTTTTCTAAATCGATCGTCGACTCGAATCGCAACTCGCGTATCGCCGTGCTCTCCAGTTGCATCACGAAAGACATAAGATAATAAGTTCGACGAATTGTATTGCAGTTATCACTGTCAAATCGTAATGATATACTTATTATACATATCATATATAATAATATATAGGTAATAACACTAAATTTTTTACAGTGAAATATTATTCCAAGAAAATGAAAATACAATCACCCTTGAAAATATTTTACTTCTTGAAAAAGAGTGACAATTTTCATTCTTTTTAGAATGAATTTCCACTTCGAAGGAAATCTCTCTCCAAAAAAAGAAATTTCACTCTTTTTTTTTCTTTTTTCCCCAAAATAGTATTTTCACTCTCTTGGAGCAAGATTTCATTGTAAGAAATTTAGAATTTACTTCGGTGATAGAATGTTTCTCGTTTGACTTATACATAAGTCGAATGACTAACTGGTCATAGTTGTATAACATTATTTTTGAACAATGTGCCGAGGATGCAAGCTATGAGTTGATTTTGGCACGCAGCAATGCACGTTCCGATTAATCTTTGCACAACTACGTAACATGACAAAGGTCGATAAGTACTTGTAGACTTTGGGACTCCGTAAAACGTATGATTTTATTTTTGTTGTCCACTTAATGTTAAAGATAAATTGGTACATCATACAAAATGAGAGGTTGCTTTGCGATAGATCGATTAGCTGATGCATTCGCAATCTGTACAATTGCAATTCTATTCGCTTTCCTTAGTGGATGGAATACAAGAACGTAACGTAATCATTCATAATTACACAGTGCAGAGAATTTATAACTGACAACTGAGAAAGCCGAGCTTATCGAGCGATTTGTATAGATACATATTCTGTTTAGGCTTATCAATACGTACATAACGTTGACAAATGTTTCGGTGAGCTCCGAGAGACTCTCGAGTTTGACAAACATAACAATGACTTAAGTGGCAACGTTAAGTACATACGTATACTGTCGTCCATGTAATATATAACTATCCATCTGTTTGCTTAGCACTTGAGAATCCGCATTTCCAGTTTGCTTTGAATTATCACTTCGATTACAAGTAATCTTATTAATTATAATTATAGTCGCGAATACTTTGTGTTTAACGCGAATAATTAAAACCTTTTGAAGTGTCGATTCTTGTTCTATAATTTACCATAATTAAATAACAATATAAACTTTATATCATGCGCTTCAATAATTATAATGGATCTCTGGACTCTATGTATAATGTATATGAAAAGTTTTCCAGCACAATGAAGAGAGAAGTCTTATGAATGAGACGCTAAAATTAGAATCGACTTCCAGGCACACATCGTCGTTAGTTTTTACTGACTCTCGCTGCATCCCAATTTTACTTCTACGATTTCATTTGACGAAACCCGACCAGGTCGCTAAGGGAAACGATTGCAATTGACGAGTTCTCCTGTCATCACAAAATTGTTTCTATTTTAACAGTCTGAATCATACTTCCTCTCACTCTCTTTCTCTTTCCTTTTGAAGCTTAAGTTACACTGTTGCTCTGCTATTTCAAATTTATATGGTCGATTTGTATCGCGAACATCAAGTTTATTTTTATCTAAAAATTTCTTTGTTGTTGGATTGCTTCTTTTCTTAGAAAGCGACAGATTTTTCCAGGATAGTAATTTTCTAGGAATGATTGGTAGCTGCATTTTTTCACGTTTATTCTTCAGTGTAAATATAAAAAAAAAGTAATATGTGCGTACACAAAAGAAAATATCATTGTGATAGACAGGCAAACAAGACCAAAGAGCAATTCGATACATCGATGGAATAACGCTTTAATGTTTTTATGCTCACCATATTCACTAAAATGTATTTGTTTGACATGCTCTTCGTAATACGATCCGATATGATCACAAACTCGCAATGTTATGAATCACGGGGTGTAAATTATGACGGATTATTGTTAGTGTCGGACGTTGTGTTATTAGCGAGCAATTAACGTTACAGCTTTAGTTGTCATATTCACACGACATGTTTGTATTCGTCTGTGGGCTATTATATGCCGCAACACATTTCTATTCTTAAATCTTTTACGAAAATTTTCTACAAACATTTTCTATAAAAATTAAACTCACACCTTAACAAATCTTGATTCCATTATCCGTTTAGACCCTTATTTATATATATATATATCTCAAAGTTTTTTTTGAATTAGAACTTACAGGCCAAAAACTTTGGATTTTTTGCTTGATCCTGAATATATACAAAAATACGTATACGTTAATAAAATTGATTCAAATAAAGACTAATTATTTCAATAATTATTAGTCAGTAAATAATTATTTTATATATAATGATATGTTATATCTAATAGTACTAATTTAACATAAGAAATTGACCATTCATTGGTCATTATTTAATTCTTTTTCATTTTTAATATCTCTCTCTCTCTCTCTCTCTCTCTCTCTCTCTCTCTGTCTGGAATAATCAATTCTCATCAGATATTCGTCGAATGAATAAAAATTTAATTTAAATTGTCTCTGTACTTTATTGAATAAAGCTTAATCAGAAGATATTTTTCCACAACATATTTCAATATATCTAAAATATTACAGTGCGTTTCGCACAATAACGTGCGCCTCGTGTACCACGTGTCTTTATATGTGCATAAAAATTTATGAATATCCTCTATCACAATTTGTCTTTTCTTTTGAATACTGAATGTGCTTTATCTCCATGCAAGCGAAAAAAGAGAAAATTATGCTTTTATAAAATTACGGAAGCACAGCATTTTATTTCTAAATCATTTCAAATATATATTGAAAAATCTTATATATTATTTTCCTTTCATATTTTATATAATTTGATCTTTTAAACTTAATGTCTTCTTAATTTTACTGTAATTTTTAACAGCAAAAAGGACATCAACGGTGTATTTCCAAATTATGCATTTCATTTCTCAGGAGATCGATATTTGAATCAAACACAGCCATTAGGTACAATATAACTCACATTTTTATTGTGCGAGGGGATACTGTCTACAGTAACGTTCTCTCCGTTCAGTTACGTAATGCTCGCTCCAAAGCTGAACCTCAAACGAAGAAATAATTGCGATATTATTTTTACATTTTTCTTCGTTCTCGCGCGTTACGTTATACTAAGCTTTGTCAACCAAATATTAAGTATGTCTCATTGCGTAAATTTTATACAGGTTATGAAAATGGCGAAGTCAATGCTGGGTGAAAGGTTGTTCACAAGGCTCATGAAGGGCACGTTTTACGGTCACTTTGTCGCTGGCGAAAATGAGGTGCAGATTACACCTGTCTTAGATAGGTTACGGCAATTTGGCGTCAAACCAATCCTTGATTATTCCGTCGAGGAAGACATCTCGCAGGAAGAGGCCGAGAGGCGTGAAGTCCAGTAAGTATAATACTCTTTAAATAAGTTTTACATATTTCTGATGTGATCGTAACAATTATGTTGTCGTGCATTGATTTTTTTTATTTTCTGTATGACCTTAGAGTAGCACGAGGCTCGAATCCCTTCATTAAAGATGAAACTTAAATATGTATATCGCTTTACCGTGCAGGGATAATATTGGTTACAGTTTTTTATTTATATTTGCTTGTCTTCGATTCTTGCGTGAATGAATTTTAATTTCCATCAGTATGTAAATGGAAAAAGTTTAAGAGAGAAACAAGACATCTAAATAGAAAAAAAATCGAATATTGGCGCAGATTGCAATGATAATAAAATGCCCAAATAGTCGCTAACTATTCGGTATTCTTCCATTTCAGAGCCTCGGTGTCAGAAGCGGGCGATGAGAAGAGGGAGGGCCCACTAAAGAAGTATCACGTAGAGAAGTCGTTCGCTGATCGACGATACAAGGTGTCGTCGGCCAGGACATATTTTTACCTAAACGAAGCTTCGTGCGAGCGAAACATGGACATATTTATCAGGTGTCTGGAGGCTGTGGCGAGTGAGTCACGGATTTTACTTCGGACTTTCTATAGCATTTTAAAATTCTTCTTAATCCCTGAATCGACATGTTTGGCAGTGCGATATTCAACTATACAGGATCTATTACAAACCAGTCTAAAGCTGATTTTTCGCTTGAGTCTCTTGAACAAATTAAATAGTGAAAATATTTTTTATTATTTAATTCTAAATGTGTAAATTGGGAATTCATTTGTTCTATCATATTGATCTATTCCGCAATTTACCAAAAATTAGGAACGATGATTAAATTCCTGAAGCAGATCGATCTTTTTCGTAATGTTCTTAAAAGGCTTCTTTTAAAGTGCCTTTTGACCTTTTTCGGATATTCGAACGGTACAGTCAGCCAAACTAGTCCTGTATCTTTGCCATTCATGGAAATTGATGCTCCGATTTATTATCCATCAAGCATACTGCATTATTATTGTCGTACAGCTTGATTTTCATGAACATTATTGATCTCAATTACATGGAAATTAATATTCACCATGTGAATATTAATTTTTCGCACATTTTATTACACACTTATTTGTGAGCAATAAAATGTGTGAAGATATAAAATTAATTAATTGAATTGTATAATTAAATTAAAATGAAATGTAAAAATTATACTTAATCAAAGTAACCTACGTAATATAATGGAAAGACTGCTTTCTAAGGAGGGGGGGGGGGAGAGGTAATTACGTAATTACGGGGCGCGATTCCGACGTCACGAAGTCGCGTGCAAGATCGATCGCCATTTTCAGGGAATTTTCGGTTTCCGTTGACGCAAGAACACTCGCCTCTTCCTGGCACCGGTATTACGTTTAGCAGTATCTACAAAACGCTATCAAATTACTGTCAATATAAGAAAGAGAGAAAAATGGCACGTGTTCTCGCCATGCGACGATAACGGCGATGGATTAAGTCTTCCATACTCGGCTATAAATACATATGTCAGCAAATAAGCACATGCATCGTTTGTGTATTTTCGTCCAAAGTATATGACGTAATATATCGGGAACATTAATGGACAAAAAGTTGTCACGAGTTGACTAATGTCTAACTAAGAAATAGAGAGAAAAAAAAACGGACTAGATTATAGACTCTGGATGAAGAGTATATTGCTTTATAAAATTTTACAGAGGATGAAGTTGAGACTTTACGGCTGAAATATCCTTCCAAGAATATTATCACCTATGCCCAAATTGATCCCAATCCTGGTAAGAAAGACATTGCTTCCCTTCCTTACCTTAAAATCTTCTCCATACATTTTTCTTTTATTCTTGTGAAGAGTTTTTCTTTTTTATGAAAGAATAATTGACTTAATTGGTATTGTAGTATAATACGTAACAGAAAGTATATCTTTGTAGGCGCTTCTATGGGAATGGGCATCACAGCTGTCAAATTAACGGCGCTTGGTCGGCCGCAGCTTCTGGTTAGTAATTTTATTTTTACTTCTGACTTTAGTTGTAATGTCATTTGTAAATCTATAATTATAATGAAATAATTCATGCTTCAGCTTCAATTGTCTGAGGTAATTATGCGTGCACGACAGTATACATCGGATGTTATCGGCGGCGAGGGTGCCGTTCTGGCTCATCATGCAAAGCCTGATGATTTTAAGAAAAAGTTCGAGGAGGCCCGCATAAAAGATACAGAGGTGCAAAAGTTTCTTCAAAAAATTCAATCGGATAAGGAAGGGTACGCGCGATCAAAATGAAGAATTTTAACGACATTTAATACAGAATAGTATTGCAAACACAATGAATATTTTTGTTCACGCAGTGTGATTCACCTTTTCCCGTGGAGCGGTATTCTAGACGAAAATTATGAACTGAGCGAAACGTTCCAAGTACCTGATATTAAGACGGGCAAAATGGTTAGGTTAATGTCGCAACTTACGTCCAAGGAAGAAGAAATGTTTAGGAACATGATCAGGCGTCTAAACAATATCGTCATGGTAAGCGTTAAACAATAAAGCTTTTCTATCAATTTTGAAATTCTTGATCGACGTCATAAATGAATAAATCATTCTTTTTTACAGGTAGCTGACAATCTGGATGTTCGTATCATGATAGATGCAGAGCAGACGTACTTCCAACCGGCCATTTCTCGTCTGACGTTAGAGATGATGCGCAAATACAATACGAAAAAGGTAACGTCCTAATGTTTTCAGAGGCTCGCGACGTTATCACTTAGCTACTTTTCAGTGAATGATATTCTTACCGCCAAATGTCGGTCTACTTCTTAGGCTGTGGTATTCAACACTTACCAGACATATCTACAAGACGCGTATAATGAGGTGAAAACGGATCTCGAACAGGCAGAACGCCAAAACTTTTATTTCGGTGCTAAACTTGTACGCGGCGCGTACATTGAACAGGTTTGTGAATACTTTTCAAATAAATTTCATTGAATTACACAGAAATATCGAAGAGTTCTTATTCAGGAAAGGGCAAGAGCAGCAGCTATGGGTTATCCAGACCCCACTAACCCAACGTTTGAGGCGACGACCGAGTCTTACCATAAGACGCTCATGGAGTGCTTGAGGCGGATGAAACAATACAAGGATAAGGGAGAAGATCCCAAAAAAATAGGTATTATGATCGCTTCGCACAATGAAGATACTGTGCGTTTCGCAATCGAGAAGTGAGTATCGATTATGATTTATATTTTATCTGTATTTTCTATGAAAGAATGAATATATGTATATTTATACGTATGTATACATATATATATATATATGAAATAATTTTTTTATGTTTTTCAGAATGAAAGAAATCGGAATTTCGCCAGAGGATAAAGTCATATGTTTTGGTCAATTATTAGGAATGTGTGATTACATAACATTTCCATTAGGTATGGAATAATCTTTAAGCTGAAATATTTTTCTATAAGATGAAATATGTATGCATATGAATCAATATCGAACAAAATTTCTAGGTCAATCCGGTTATTCTGCATACAAGTACATCCCTTATGGACCGGTTAAGGAGGTATTGCCGTACTTGTCGCGACGCGCACAAGAGAACAGGGGCATACTAAAGAAGATCAAAAAGGAGAAACGCTTGCTACTGAATGAAATCACGAGACGTATAGTGCGTGGCCAGTTCTTTTACAAACCCAAGGGCAATTATACTCCAGTTTGAGCAGTCGATCCGTTTAGTTGCACACAAACAGAATTTTAAGTATCAAATTTAAGTAGTGATTGTAAATTATCGAAGATTCTCCTGAAAGAACTTGAAACGAGCTCTTTTGATTGAAGTAACTTGACGGACCTGTTACTGTGGTACTCTGAAGGAAGAGAGAGAGAGAGGGAGGGGGAGGCGTCGTGTACGCATTTCACGTGCATGAGTGTGAATGCGAGACTTGAGAATATACGCAGTGTTATCTGTTACGTAAAAATCGCCTTAGTGTTGTATTGTCGAATATACTGATGCTCAAAACTGCTTGTGAGTAAAGCTATAGTACGTATTTGTTACTCGTTTTTTCGTCGTTATTAAATAGGATGCCAGTGATACTGCTATAATTTAATTTCACTAAAATGTTTCGAGAAAATGTTTTCAAAAAGATTGAGCAAAGAGAATCCAAAACTAATCAACTCTTTCCAAAAATTAGCTTTATATAGTATATAAAATAATGATTTTTTTAACGATAGTTTGTATATTTTCTGTACACAGTATTAAGAAATCAACCGTATCAGTGGCTTTTTCGCAACAATGATGATGATTGGAAGAAACCTTATCTTGATTTTTTAGCATATTTGTGTTTCCCAAGTTTTACAATTTTTTTGAGAATCTCATCGAATATTTTTCATGTGTATATAATACACGCGCGCATCAATTATTTATGATTCGTGTTCCTTCCTATATTATCATCCATAATATTGATAAAAAGGGGGAGAGAAATAAGAAAAAAAATGCATTGCACATAAATCCGGATGTAATTGTATAATTTGCTACCATCTTGACGATTAATGCTCACGGTGAACATGGTAAAACATGTTTAGAACATTCGCGATATAGTTAGTAAGAAAAAACAGATAGTAATTGTATCGCGTGCGCTTCTATTAAGCGTATAACATTGCCGATGAGCATTTTAATATAGTCTGCAGAACAATAATGAAATGGCTCATATCCAAAAAAAAGAAAAGCTAAATATCACGCAAAAATGGCTTTCTTCTTTATTTGTTTAAAAATAACACCCATGTTATATATACGAAAAGATAATTTTCTTAGAAGTGCGACGAGATAACAGGGTGAAAGTATAATAAGATTCAGAGGTATCTTAGCTAGAGACGTGCGGATTTTTTAATGTTTGGTAATATGAAATGGAAGAGAGAAAGAAAGAGAAACAGAGTCGTTTTCGTAGTGCACGCGTATCAAGTCGCGATATAAAAGTGATTTGGGCTGACATGACGATAATGAAAGCCGGAGAGATCTGAGAAACACGATATTTCTTTTGTGATACGTTAATAGTTGTAGTTAAGCCACACATATATGTACACGAGATATTAGTCCCTTTGCTTCAGCCTAAAATTGCTTCTCGCGTTACACAGAATAATCGGTAAGAAAAGCGTTTCGACGCTATTGAAGGAACACCGCAAATACTGTTATAAAAAAAGAAAATCTATGCACTCCGTCATTATTATTTCTTTCTAAGGAAGAAAATAAAGGAGGACAGATTTTTTATTTAGAAACAAATTCATGCCATGATTTGAATAAAAGTTTTAAATATTAACAATCCTTTTCTCATCCGTTATGAGAGAAATTACACTTCGAAAAAAAGAAATTATTGGAGATTAAACGATAATCTGATTCATAAAAGAAAGAATTGCGTCCAGTTTCATAATTCAGCGTTAATCGTCGTTATCAAGAAGTAATTCACGATTTCGAATATTACGATCTGCAATCAACGATCAGCAAGTTACGATATAATTTAGTTTGTAAGATTGTACAAGAATTTCCGAGGAAGTTTCGTAGCGTATTCTGATATTCTTAGGCCAGTATTTCCTTTATACTCGCGACGACTCAATAATGTATTTCTCCAGTCGATGCTATCAGTTTAATATTAGTATTATCCCTTTTTTTTCGAACTCACAGATCGTCATCAAACTATACTCATTTTGTTTTTTTGGATGATCTGTTTGGGAATGTAGTCATTTATGATCTCCTATCTTTTTCCTATATACATTATACGAGAGCGTTACGTTTATATAGTATGTGTGTATGTAGCCTACATTTATACACGACTGTAATAATTCAAACGAGATACGTTTGTGTAGAGTATTTACTCGCTTCATAGAGACGTACTGCGTGCGCGACATTGATCGATTTGCGAGAGGAAAGAAAAGGAAAGGAAGAGTTATAGAGCGAGTCTAAAAATTTTGCTGTGAATTATATGTTAAATGCAAATGCTTGGAAAAAAAAGAAAAGAAAAGAGAGAAATATGATCGATGAAGAAATAAATAAAGGGGCATTGTTACAAGTTACACGGGCTAATAGCTAAAATGTTTCCATGTGTCTATGTGATATACTGGATGTCCATTGCGTGCGTGTGTGTGTATGTGTGTGTGTGTGTGTGTGTGTGTGTGTGTGTGTGTGTGTGTGTATGTGTGCGTGTATTTCTAAACGTTATATATTGATAAATTCAGTTAAAATCCAAGGCTTTCCTCAAAGTCGACTACTCGTGCCCTGTCACGCGAGAACGCGAGCTTCTACTCGCATTCCCGTTAAGACGTAAGACAATAACTTAGATAGACAATGTTGACGTATGTATATGTATGTATGTCTGAATGTATGTACACACACACACACACACACACACACACACCACACATACATACATACATACATACATACATACATACATACATACATACATACATACATACATACATACGTATATAGTATAATAGATGTGTGATTTCTGTCACTTGCATTTATGTCTTATTGGAAATTGGAAAAGAGTGAAGTGCAAGACCGATAATGCATCCCGAAGATGTGGAGGCGTTTATCGGAAATCGATGAAGAATCGTCACGATTATATACTTTCAAATACTCTAATTTGAGTACTCGGCGTTTTGCCAAAGCGTTCGAGATATGAGATTGATTCATTGCTGTCCTTTTTAGTCAAATATTTCAATATTTTTGCGTTCTAAGACTTGGAGGTGATTTCGCCGATCTTTTTCCTTTCTTCGTTTTATTCTTTGATGATCATTCTCTCTTTTTTTGAATATGTGCAATCTTTTCTTTTTATTCAATTTATGAGCTAGGTTGCAGTCCTAATGAGCTCTTTGAAATTTATATATCATTAAGTTAACATTCGAGGAAGATCGACGAAATCTGAGTCTCAGTAGCGATTAGTTTTTAGTGTATTTAGTTTACGAAGTACAAAAATGAATGGAGAACCAACGATCTCTACGATGAAAGTAATTTCAAGAATATTAAATATAATTAAAAAGAGGGAATATAAAAAGAAATGCGTGCGATTCAGCAGGAATAGTCGAGCGTGTTTGCTTTTCCTTGGGAACGTTCGTAGGCAGGCGGGTGATCTCGGGAATAGCGATTTTACGTGTCGCACACAAGAGTGAATTAAAGCGTCGATCGATATAAAATAAGATAATATTTATTATTTCATGAAATACAGATAATATATGCCTTTCCCCAATGCCACACTGACGATATACATTCCTTGCTCCGCGCCTCGCTAGGACACTTTTCGCTTCCCTTTTCTCCCTGTCTCGAAACCTTTTTTCTCGCCCTATGGGCAATCGGCTACAATTTCCAGCGAACCGGTAGTGAGCAAGTTTATTGCTGAGTAAAAAGTACGGATTTATCTGCGCGAGAGTTTTTGCGTCCTAGCGGTTTTTCTCTCCTTTTACACCTCCATGGAACCTCGCGTTCTTCCTTCTCTTTTTATCCAATCGCCTACCATTATCCTGCGATCCTTACTGTCGGTCAAGCGTAATACGATTAACTCGAACATCGGAAAACATGTATGTGGCGCATAAAAAACTTTACCGTAAAATGATAGTAATGGTAATAAGTTTGTATCGATGGAAACAGCGGTCCCGGAATATCCCGAAAGTATACACAATGATCAAATAATGTTGCAGTCTTGATTCGTATAAAATTATGAAACTAAATGTAATTACATTTTCGGTTTAAAATTACATAATTATATAAATTTAATCGGATAATAAAATGCGATGTGAATCACGAAAAAAAGTTGGATGAAACTCATGAAGAATTACTTTTTTCACGT